GGATCAGACCGCCTAGATATGACCCCAGAGGTCACAGCAAAGCAGGTCTGCTCCCCAGGACTTCTGTGAGAAAGCAGGATAATTTACTTTGGTGTGTGTGTGAGGGATGCTCTCCAGTTCAACCTAAGGAAATGAAAAGTGTTTTCAAATGTTTTCACAACCTGGGGGAGTTTAAGGACCTTGCTAATCACAACCACACGTCCAAAACCCATTTTCACACAGCTAATGGACGGACGCCTGGACGCTGGATTACAGTATAACCTTTACTGTGTGAAACCGTACAAATGCAAAGCTGTGTCATTCAAAGATCTGGTTTTGATAAAGAAACTAACTTGAATTTCCTTGCTGGAGCCAGGTAATGTAATTTGAACTTCTGTACAGTATAAAGACCAGCAGCTGAATATGTTTCTCCATCATGACTGAAACATTAAGAAAACCCCCTGAATCCTATTTATACCAGCCTCTAATCCGGCATCCTATGAATATGTATGCTTTCCAGTGTTTAGGGTAGAGTCGGCACCCTTATCTCTTGGGGCATGTTCGAGATGTGTAATTGTTTCCATCCACGTACATGGTGTTTACGTTACAGAGCTTTGCCAGCAAAATAAATGTTTTCTAGACATGTAAACACAGCAGCTAATGGCAACAAGAATGGCTCAGCAGTGGTATCGTTACAATGGGTTGGTTTACAACAGCAAAATAATTTACTTACTCTTACTAGCGGCCAGTGGACGACCGATAACCTCTTGGTAACACACGTTTTCTAAGGTAACAGTCAGTGCTTCCATGTTCCTCTTTCCATCAGCATGATAATCCTGACTCTCCACAGGCATTCACACCAAAGAAACAAATATTACAGCAAAACAGACTGTTTTAAAGCCTGTATTCTTTCTCTTACTGTACATGACCTATTGTGCAATCTAACTAAGTACTTCCCTTCAATACTTTGAGTTCAATTAGTAGGTATTTTATAAAAAAAGAAGCTCACTATACACTACCTGCTGAACACTATAAGAACAGACCACAAGCATTGTTGAAAGAGAGTGAATATTGGACTTTTATCCATCATGTGACCAGAAAAGTAGTAACAATGTTGCTCTGTGTTTGCTGGATGTGTCAATAACAAGTTTGCAATGTCAAGGGGATGATATGTGAATGTTCACATCTTGATCTCAGACTTCAAGTGTCCAGGAATGTGTACTCGCAGGTTTAAGGAAACTATTTAAAAATACTCATTCCATTGAGTATTATAATTTAACATGGACTTTCAAGACCTCTCAGTGAGTTAAGAAATTAGACACAGTCAGATTAAATTGCATTTTTTCATGCAGTATGCAGTGTGCAAAACTGACCTGTTTTTTGGCAGGCAGTTGTCCTGCACTAGTATCTCTGCGCCTCCAACCAGCTCAGCTCCGCCCCCACCTTGCCCCCTTTAGTGGCACACCCTCCTCTAAAAGCTTTTTTAATTATGGCAGCCATTAAAGCAGGGCTGGCTCTGGGCTCTGACTGATGGCAGTGTATGCACCACTGCTCCTCTGGGCCAGCCACATGCCTAAATGCACTTATATGACCACACACAGACACACTCATGTACAGGACATACAAATGCACACATGTATTACCTGCACACAAGTGTATAAATGCACTTGTGGATGCAAAATGCTTCGACCAGACAACCAAACAGGCTCCACTGGCATTAAATCTGCCTAATCATCTTTTTGTTAAGTCTGCAAAAGTGATGGTGGCATCCCCTCATCTACTCAAGAGAGAGGGAAAAGACCACATGTAAAGAGCAAGAAAGAGGATGCAAAAGAAAGAGAAAAATGGCAGAAGTGAGCAGAGCTATAAAACACAGTTTCCGTGCGTCTCCCTAAAGAGAAAGTGTGTGTCTAGATTGTTCACATAAAGAAACCATGCTGAAAAATAAATGCAGAGCTAAAGATAGAAAGGCCAGCACAGCAGACTGGATGACTCATCCATGGAAAACAGATAAGTACACTTTGAATTATCGATCCTCCATCATAAAACAGAAATGAAAATGGTGACATCATGTGCTTGATGAGCTATAGTTCTGTTGTCTAAGCATAAAGGGGGAACCTAAATGATGCGTGTGTACTCAAAGCCAGTCAGCTGAATTCAAATGTGTGTGTTTAGGATGTGCACATGTAATTGCTCCAAGGACATGTCTACCTGTGTGAATGTGTCTGTGTTTATGTGACCCTCAGGCCGTCTGGTCTACACTAATTCAATTGTCACCATTCTAAGAGACGTATTTGACCCCAGGGCTTCACAGGGTCACGCTCGCTTCCTGTTTGGACCAATGGGAAGCCTCCATCAGTGATCCGACAGGCTGCTACAGCAACTCTCAGGTTACACTGCCTGGGACCGGGAGCCACAGAGCTCCCAGGGGTAGTTTTCAGAGGTGTCCATATGTGATGTGCAGAAGAAGGGTGGGGTTCTGGGAGGGTCACACGGCCACAGAGATGCAACCCCACCCACTTCAAAGGGTCCCTGTCCTTTCGTATCCCTGAGGGCACCCTGCTGTTTTCCTTCAATGGCACCCCCAAACGGCTGGCCTATCTCTCAATGGCGGATGTCATTGGGTCCCGCTCAAAGGCCTTGAAGTCGGACACCTTCCCAGCAGCCCCGCCTCATGACCTTCCCTGTGTGTCTGATGGTGAGAGCATCCCAGCTGATGGGGGCTCCACTTTGATCTACCCTAATAAAACCTGTAACCCGAGGACGCCACATCAGGACCACCACACTCCCTCCGATGTCACCATATATAGACCATATGGAGCAATCTGCTGTGGCTACACTATCTTTAAAAGCAAGCTCTTATATTATATATAGGGTGAGACATATTGCAGGCCTCTCAGCACAGAGCTCAAAAAGAAGAGAAGATTCAATGACCACAACAAAGCCTTGCTTGTTCTCTGTGTTATAATTATGCATGGGAGAGGGCCTGGTGACGGACGAGCCTTTAAAAAGGTGAGATGATAGATTTCCATTATGTGATGAATTTAAATGATAACCCGTAGATTTTGTGTGTGTGTTCTAAGTCTATATGTCCACTTTCCTAGATTATAAAATGCATTTATTATACATTAGTCAAAGAGAGTCAAAGTTAAGAGTACGTCCCTAATTTAAAAAAAGTTTAAAATGTGTTTCTCATAAAATCTTGTGTAGAATGAAAAACAACTTCAACAGAAATGTATTCCATCATTGCAAATTAGAGTCTTCATTTTATTTCACCAAAGTTTGTTTTAATGTTGTTTTACTGCATCCAGAAACAGCATTACAAGATAACTGAGAAAAATGTGTACCAGCCTTACAAGCTAATGCGCCATAGATCTAAAAACTGTTTATACTCTCCCACAGTATGAACTCAAGCTTTCCATGTGATGGATAAGGTAAGCCGGCTAAACTACCAAAAAGGCACCTTCACTGGAGCATGACCTCACGACACAGCTTCTATTTTTCTCTGTTGCTTAACCAATAGTGATGGAACTCACTCATGCTGATTAAGTACACAGTATTAATAGATTTCCTATGAAAAGCCTTCTGACAAAAATAGAAATACATTCAGGCTGAGCCTCTGCGGCCCTCCAGAATGATACATGGCTGCAGGAAATGTTTACGAGTGGACCAACTGCCTTGTTTAAGGTCAAAGGTTACATAAAATGTCAGATTGGTTTAAACTGTGTCAATCGGTTAAGAGATCCATCATGCCTCACAGTGGGAAATCCTAAACGGGCTCCCTGGGCTCCATGAGATATTTATTTTAAGTATTAGTGAGGTTAAACGACATCGGGAAGATGCCACAGCTGAAGTCTACTGGTGTTAAGTCTGAGTCACTCTCACCCCCCATGTTGTCAAAACCCAAACAAACAGCATAACTAACACATTTAGAGACGCCTGGACCCAAACATGAGCTGTGGACAGGTCAGCATCAGACTCACGACTGATCACAAGCACATGAGCAGATCATTACTTATTCTGGCCAAACTGTTAAAATGGTTAACGGATTATTATGGAGATCAAGTTTTATCCAATATAAATTGAAGTCTAGTGTACTGGGTGTTTCTCAATCGCGAGTACGCTTGCTTGGTAGCACATGTCTGCCGAGCATCTTGCTTCAGAAGCGAGTCAAGAATACTTCCTGGCATTCGGAAAACGAAGTGTGGAACACGCTAGCAAGTGTGCGTCATATGAGAGGCCCCGCCTTACATCTTCCGCCACAGATTTGGGGAAATTGGTCCGTGCGCAAAGCATTGTGGGGATTTTAAGACCGCGAAGTCCACTCATGTGCAGACTCGATATTTCTCCAAACGGAGTACGCCGGGCTCGGTAGATTTCCAAGTATGCTGGAGATTGGAACAGTACTTCGGCGGCACTCGATGACGTAGTATGCTTGAAATAGTGGCTCTGAAGCAGCTTTACTCGCGATTGAGAAACACCCTGTACTGTCTTCTTTCATTGAAACAACTTTCCTGCCATTTGATTTTCTTTCATTACATTTTAAAAGGAGTTTCCATTTGCAGTTAAAACAGTGTAATACAAAGCAAATGATTATTAAAAACAATAATTAACCACATTATAAAGTAGGCTACATGTAGGGCCTATATTCTATAATTCACATTTTTGAAAAAAAAACAAATTCAAATTACCTGTAAATTGAAACAAACTGCTAAATACCAATCCTTTTTTTCCTCATCTTCCAGTCTTTCTCCAAGTACCAAAACGAATCTATATGTTAGTATGGGAACAACCAGCTCTATCTCTCTGCATCTTTACAAAGTCAATAGTTTTTTTTATCAGTGCAAGACCCGCAGGCTCTGGGGTCAAACTGCACCAATTATTAGGCTTATTATCATAACAAATTCTCATACATAAAACAAATGGGACTGGCAACTCCTTAACCGTGACACAATACACAAATTGTTCAAACAAAAAGACTAATTGAGCTAATAGTCAATTAACAGAAAGTGTGTACTCACCGCTCACAGAAGAACACGGTGAATCACAGATTAGATGTCATTGTCCACCTCGTTGCTGCTGGTTCTCCCATCGACACACTTGTTCCTCGGGGCTTTCTTTAGCCGATATAAAGCACGAAAAGCTCAGTTCTTAAGATAATAACAGCTAGAATAAATCGAGCAGAGCTTCCTGATAGGGCCTGGATGACACAATTGCATCACGCATGTGGTTGGAGGTAATCCTATTCCGTTTTTCTTTCAATATTGCGCTTTGCCTGGTGAAGTCACTAACTCTGTTATTTTATGCCATTTTATGCAGTCAATTCCACAATTTTTTCTTTTTGAACAACATCAATCAGAGCGTATTCTGTACTTTATATATCCATGTTGGGAAAAGGTAGCTTAGCTAGCAAGCTACCCGATTCCTCTCTGATACAGGAACTTTCAGCAGCCAATGAAAAGAGGGGTCAACTGGGGTCAATGTTTACTTGAAATTAGTCTCCTACAGGTATTTATATGAATACATGTTTTAAGATTAACTTTAATCCAAGAATCTGATTTAAAAAATATAAGTTTAAGCATCAAAATATACAAAAAGTAAAAGTACTCATTCTGCACTCTGGCCCATTTAAGAATAATATAAAGCACAGGAGTATTATCAGCTAAATGTACTTCAAGTATCAAAAGTCGAAAGTACTCGTTATGCAGAAAAAAGGATATTTTCACAGCATTATATTAATATGGTTATTTTATTATCCCTGTTTTTCTACCTGTAAGAGCATTTTAGAATTGCAGTTTGTAAAAGCCGAGCAAATGTAGATACTTGAAATACTCTCTAGATTAGTTAGTGACAAGAGGTGAAAAAGTGAAAGCGGAAACGTCTTCATCCTCTGGGGGCCATGAATGTTTTTACAAAACAATTGCTCCGATTACTTTGTTATAAAGATATATAAGTGTTTGAGCGACAGAGTGGCCAACAGTCCTCCCCCGCAGCCACACCACAATCGTAGCTTATAAGATTTAAAGAACATTTCGATAAAAGCACAGTGTGTGACTAAATCTCCTTGTTAAGGTCTGGAAGTAATCTACTCCTCTTCAAAAAGGAAAAAAGAGGGAACATTTTAAAGCTGACAAGTCTCAAATGTGTGTCCCATCCCTCCTGCAGCTAAATCATCCCTTTGTGGTACATTTAAAGTTTACATTAGATCCCACGGCAAAGCTATGAGGGATGTAGGCCTACTCAATTTCTGAACATGTTTTTAGTGGGAACAAGAGAGAGAAAATATACATTGAGGCATTAAATGTTTGCTGTATTGGTGCTGTACTGAAAGCACCCATATTCAAAACTTAATGACTAAACAGTTGATAAGAAAATATTGGTGGTTATGGCAAAGAAAAAATTAAGAAAAAGTAATACTTCTTTTCTTTTTTGTCGACGGAGGAAATTAAACATAAAGAAGAGGGGGATCTGTACAGGATTAATGGATTCTGAGTGTGTGGACCTTCCCAGTTCCCAGAGCTGCAGATTTGATTCTCCTCCATTCATCCGGACCTCTTTTCATCCCTCAATCCACATTTAAACCTCTCCTCATCCCCCGGCCCTCTATACTTCTAGTGCCAGTGTCTGTCATCATTCCTACTATCCCTTCTGGCCATGTTCACTTATTGGGCTCAGTCCTCTTTTCAAGAAAGACATTGATTAGCAGAGGACACATTGATTGACTGCCATGTCACAGAGCAGCTCATGGAGATTCAATCAGTCCATTGTTAGCTTCAATTGCCTTCTATATTTATATCTCCGAGATCAAAGATTAAGACAGAGGAGGGGGTGGTGGAGGGAAAAAGCTGGGACATAGAAAGAGAAAGTAACTGCTTGTGTTAATCTGACATTTCTGTACAATAAAGTCCCCCTCTCCTGAAATAACTGTGGTTTACAGATGGTGCATTACATCGGATTGAGTCACACTGCAACAAGATAGATTTGTTCCAGACTTGAAGCTTGATACGATCTATAATGTCCTAAACCAGGAACACCAGCCAGAAATAGACAGATATCTTACCTTTCGCTAATGCGCTCCACACAATAGGGGGAAACAGTTACAGCAAACAAAACACTCTCAACACTTTGTTCAGGTTGACAGGCATCACTCTCCCATGTTTGAAGGATGGTTATTGATTTGCATGCAGGAGTCTGCACACAGCCAGAGTTGCTCATTAACTCCAATGTGTTACCTTTGATTATAGCATCCCCTAGTGGCTGCAAGAGCTCAGGATTCATCCTCACTCTTTTACTTACATGTGTAGTTCAGTTTAACAAGCACAGCTGAATCACATGACTTGTATGTATTTGTTTATTTAATGGGGAAGTGGCAACTTAATAAATATCAGTATAAAACACATGATGTATAAATGCAGACATTAGCAAAAGTGCTTATTTACATTTGTAGTCCCCAGGCAGGTAACACAAATAGAAACTTAATTAGCCATGTGAAATCAATTTGCAAATATAGATAACATATGTAGCATGATAACAAATGCAAACAAAAAAATATACAGATTTATAAAAAAAATCTGATTCATTACTCCCATGAAACGTGATCCTTTTAAAAATAATATATGTATTTCCTTTTTTATATAAAGCACAGAACACAAAATCTCCGACAGAACATGACAAATAAGATAAGTATGAAAGAATAAAACATAAAAATAAAGTTAGAGGGCATTATATTGATCCCCTAACCTCAAAACTCCCTACAAATGAGAGGAGTGTCATCATATAATTCATTACAATATAAAAAAAACAAACAAGAAACATATTTTATTACTGACCACGATTTATCAAATATTACTGGTATCGTTTCATCAGGTTTTAAGATAGTAGTTTGTGGCATTTCTGCATGCATTTAAAGCATTTACAAATCCACACCACATACACATTCCAGATATAGTGCCATGGCATTTACCCCTCTAAACCTTTTTTTATTGAATCTACGTTCTACAGAAGAAATATGCCCAGTTTCAGTGTCCAACTAAAACCTTAATCCGTACACTGTTTATTGTTTTCATTTAACATAGTTTCAATTGTATTTGAACAACATCTGCATAGTTGAGGACTTGATGAAAGTGTGTTGCTTAAAAGGTCAAACAATTAGTGATTTCACAGTGGGATAGTCCTGAGCCCTCTTGGACTGTAACGGAGACATAACATGATCCCTAAGAAAGTAGTTGAATGTGTTCTCTGTGTATAATTCAGAGTAACAAGGACACTTTCTATTAAAAGGGCATGCTGCTGTAAATTGTCCATGTACATTTGCAATGCTGTGAACACCACAACCTGATCTAAATACACTTCCTCTGTTTAGGGGCAGAACAATTGTCAATTCAATATATATTACTTTATGGAAGCCCTGAGATGCAAGTGGAAAAAAAAATACAATGATCATGATTTGTTCATGATTAAGAACAGCTATTCTTAGTGTTCACTGTTCAATCACTTTAATCAGGAAAGGCTGAAGTGCACCACTACCTCATGTAAAGACACTTAAGACATTCATGTTTCCTCCAGGTGAGTTTTATATTCGACATGCACTTCATACACAAGAACATATAGTGCTAGCAAGTTTTGCTAAATAAATGTTACCTTTTTTAAATACAGGGTTTGTTTTAAACCCTGTATTTAAATAACATTTAGAAATAGTATCACCAAATGGTTTTTTTCTCCCACTTGCCTTTCATGGCTTCTGTAGAAGCTGGACAAATAAAGGCAAAACTATCTGTAGGCTTAAATACCTATTGATGTAATGATATGTCTGTGAGCTGACCCTTTAATTGACCTCCATCGCCCATTTGTACCCCATCACTACTGAAGCTTGGCCTGGTGCAGAAGAGAGCAGAGACACTAGAGGGCAGCCAACACTCATGTATACATCCTGCAGCCCGGGTCCCTGACATCTCACCAGGATGTCTGTTGCCTGCAGCTCCTCATTCAAACGGAATTACACTGTGAAATAGGATTACGTGTCAAGCAATACAATGATTGAGCACAATTGTTGGGAGTTTGGCAGGAAAGCAGAATAAAAGAAAATATACAAACACACATTCCTATTTGTCACGCTGCTGTGAGACGTCTGTGGAACGACATTAAGATAAGTCGATCCTGTGTGTCAATTGATGGGTATCTTAGCATCCACACTGTTCTCTTTTTTCGTCAAGTGAGTACAAAATAGCAGCCGCTTGTCTGGTTGTTCCCAAGAGAGAAAACAGACTGAGGTATGGCCCTATAATTATGTGCAGGAGGGAAAGTGTGTGTATGAATGAACGTGCCCCGTTTTAAAGGCGTTTTATTATGGCTGCTGTTTCTTCAGATTGTGGGCCGGGGAGCGGATCTCCCTTTATAGGTCTGCTGTTTCCTCTCCCAGAGAGCTCCCTGATACCCTTGGCAACTGAAGAGACTGGCTCGCATTATACAGAGACACATTTAGCTTCTGAAATAATGTAATAAAAAGAAAAAAAAGAGAAGGAGAAAGAGAGAGAGAGAGAGATCAAGCAACCTCCTAAATTGATGAGCTCATTCCCATCTTTCATCAACATCTCCTGCATCATAATGAGCAGGGAATCTGTATGTGTGCTCACAGTCAGATGGGTGGAAGAGAGCAGTCATCTTAAGGACTTCCCTGCAGCCAAACTCTTTGATATCTCAGTCGCTCTGGATCGGCAGGGCCTCATTTTCTCCGGTGACCCCCTCAGCTCTGACCTTTGACCTCCAGGGGTCAGGTCCCTCAGTATTACGCCTGTCGAGCCAATTAACCCCAGAACTGAGATCAATTAACCCTTAAACAGTAGCAAAGGCAGATAACACCCACTGCATTATTAGCAGGTGCAGGAAAACCATCAGATCAAAGCATTTCAAATGGGCTGATCCAAGACAAATAGCACTGGTGGAAAACGTTTTGACCTGGTGACGGACAGATATATACGGACGGGGTCTTCTACTGGGAGATTGGAGAGAGATGCAGGGAAAGATGAGCAAAGACTCAGCGAGACGGAGCGAGCGAGAGAAGCCCATCTCTGAGTCTAATTAAGCAGAAATGGGGCCGTTGGGAGCCAGGGGAACTGCGAAGTGATACCTTGCATTTCACTCCATTAACCCACTCCTAATGAACTGTGCGTTATTGGGGAAAGTCTTTATCAATCACACCCCCCTGAGGTGTCGGTCACTGGTTCCTCGGTGCTCAGAGAGAATGTCAATACTCTTCTCTCTGACCTGTGGGGAGGACAAACAATCATGCTTCAAGTGACAGCAGGCATGAGGATCAGGCTTTGGGACAAATTCCTTTAGCTGCAGATTTCAACATTACCATATGACACACAAGTTATTTTTGTTGTGACAAGAACAGTGTGAAAACAGTCCCAGTCTTTCCCAATCAAGGATTTTTTTTCGAGCTCACCAACGTGGGTGGGTGAGCTCGGTGATGAGAAATGCCCCCAATGTCGTCAGTGGATGAGTGGGGCAGGCTGTTGTAGAAAAACTGATATTAAATATATTAGTTAGAGATTAGAAAATAGAGGCAGATGCACTGGGAAACAGATGGTAATTGTTGTGTGGCTACTGGTTATTCATTTTAATAGCTTTTTTTCCCCTTTGATTGCATGCTAAATGAATTGAGGGGATAGGACTAGAGAAAGTGGCTGGCAGAGGAAAGGAAGGAGTTGCTGGATAGGTGGAGAGAGATAGAGATAAGGGAGGGGGAAATAGAGAGAAAGGGGAGAGAGAGGGAGTGAGAGAGAGTAGAAACTGTTTAAACGTGTGTTAGCTCTTGCCAGTCTCAGCTGAGTTTCTGCAGGAGGCTGCAGCTCCTTCACTCCAGGATCTCCTCTGTTCCGATGACCAGATATGATCAACCCACTCCCCAGTCAAACCATTTTACTTTGAGCTGGGATCTCTTTATTTGTTTGCATGGATGATAAAAGCCTCCCGCATATTCATGGATTTCTCATACCACAACTAATTTGACTGTAAAAGAAAAGACAGAAAAGGGGGACTCAAAGTGGTTTCAGCGGTTTTATTAGGTTTGTGGAAGCTGCAGTTTAGTCTGCCTTGGACATGGGACCGTGCGTCACCCGAGAGGAATCCGGTGCCGGAGAAAGAACATCTTCCTGAAGGAGGAAAAACCCGTGTGCGGGAGTTTTTCGTTTCATTTATTTGCTACCGGGGAGGGGGAGCTGTGGGTTTTACGCGCCGGAATGATGCGTCCCAACCACGGCTTCATCCTGCTCCTTCTAAACGGAACAGCTTGTTTGGTAAGAAAACAGTGGGAATGGGGGAAAGTCAAGCTGTAATATTTACGCATCTTGCTCCAAATTACCTTTTATTTTACATGTCACACATTGCACCTGCGTCACGCGGTACTGTAAGGTGTCTGCATCCCAAAACTTATAAACTCAAAGGTATAGGCTACTACAATTGTGTGGAAACTGAAAGCTGAGATACTGGTCAAAATGATACATTGCTAGAAGTGTTGGTCATTTGTGTTTCTTGCAGAGATTATTCTCGTCTGCGGTGCTCTGCTCGCTGATTCCAAGTGCATTTGCGGCGACATCTGTGTTTTATTAACTTCTAATTATGAAGTACACTAAATAACATTCACTTTGACCCGGCTCGGCTCAGGTACGACGGGTGCACTATCACTATTCCCAGCGTACACTCGCAGCGTGCGGAGCATTGTGCCACACGCCGGTATCTACAATCAGTGTGCTTATTTCGAGACAGTTCTGCTAAACCCATCACTCAATCAGCATATTTAAGTCACTTTAAACTTTGTAACTGTACGTGAATACATATTTTTTACCGAAATAATTACACGACAAGTGCACCTAAATAAATTGCACCGTATGCATGCAGGTGTAATTTCCCACTTTAAGCCAAAGCAAGAAAAGAGCCAACTAAAACAAAATAAATGTAAGCTGTTACTTGTTTGATATGCATGCACTGAGTTATCACAGCGTGCACCATACTGCAAACAAAAATGTATATGTAAATTAGAGAAAGCTTTACTCTGCAGGTGCACACTCACCTGGCATAAAACAACCAACTAACACCAGACACAGCACATTTTAGCAAATTTGTTTTTATATGAAATGCATTTACCTACCACAACGTTGTATGTTAATGGCCATGTGGTTGTACATGTGTGGACATAGGAAATGCATAATCATACTGTGAGCACATTCCCATGTCTAAAGAAGGATTACACTAGAACCTCTTTTTGTAAAGTATTTATTCTGAGGTCTCACCTTCTTAATTAAAGTATGATTAAATACAGAATGTATTCTGTGAGTGGTGAGATCACTTTGAAACATCTCCTCAGAGTCTCTGAATTGTAATTGGACTATCTGATAAAAAATGAAGTATTTTTTTCAACCCAAGTGAAGCATGATAGCTTCCCTAAGGACCCCCACTGACCTATAACACCAGATGTGTAAACATGAACTGTTTCTGCAGTCTTAATGAACACATCCAGCATTACATAACCATACTATCAAATTTGGATCGCTCACTCCTCTTTCATGTATGCTCACAGATTTATTAAAAAGCAGCCTTTAATGAGAAATCAGCTTTTGATTCACATGAGAAAACTTGAACAGTCGTCTGCTCGGAAACCCTTGGGCTGACTAACACAGGGCCCAGGAAATGAGCAAGCTCCAAAAGAAAGTGCAGTGGAAATATTCAAGTGAGGTTGAGTGCTTGTTTGATGCATCCGTTTGTGCCGGCATTCCTTCAAGGATGACCTTGTGATTCTCATATTAGCGTATTATTAAGGTGCTCACAGTGAAGTAATGGCCCTTTTAGTGATTGGAGGTCTGATAGACATGGCTTGTAAAATACTTAACACACAGATTTATTGAGTTTTGACCGATTTCTGAGAGAGAAGAGACCACCCTTTGACTTAAAATATGGAGGATGAGTGCCTTTTCAGCCGTTGAATAACTAGATACAAGAGTGGGATAATAGGCTTAAACCTCAGCCTTGTGTTGTCTTGGTTCTGTGAGCTGTAGGGCTATACAGCCTTTTATAACCAGACAGGTCTGTGGCTAATGATAATGAAATTAATTGGGTTTTTTTCTCCCACGCTAGACCATGTATCTATGAAAAACGTACATGACATCTCTCAGCAGGAGATTTTGGGTAATTCATTAGCCCCATGACATTGATCAATTATTGAGCAATTAATAAATTAAGTAACTTTTTATTATTCAAGAGAGTCGTGATTAATAATCGTATAAGCCTACTATGCATTAAAATTCGATTTGGATGAATTTCTGTTGTAATAGCGCCGCGATTCTCAGAGAGGGTTCAGTTCTCCAGGGGCCTTTTCCAAATGACTTCGAATATAGACAAGTATTAAAAGGTGCCACTCTGGTTGTTGTTGATGTGATGAATGATGTGTTTCAAATGTTAATTATTCTTCGTATTTGAATGGAGGGGTTATAAATAATATAAACCATCTCAGTTGTATAATTGACTGCTTGAGAAATTATGTTTATTTTTGGCAGTGGTTAGAGTTATTTTTCTTCTGTGATGCTCGGCAAGCTGACTAGATTTGTCTCGGTGAGCTAAATTGCTGATATGCATATATCAGGAAAATAATCTGTGGAATATTTAGGGGGATAGTTTGATATTTGGACATTATTCAGTTGTTGGTTGAGCAGAGCTAAGATGTTCAAAAGAACTGCAATGATTATTTTCATTACGGAATTATCTGATTTTAAATTTCCTGATTCATCAATTCATCGTTTGGTCTAAAAAACTATTTAAAATTGAGAAAAAAGCTCATCAGTAAAGCACATTTAAGAAGCTGGAACCAACAAATGTTTTGGAAATTCGCTTGAAAAATGTATTCAACAGTGAGCCGAATATCATAATATCTTTTGCTTTCAAACAACCAATCGATGAATTGACGATTTGTTTCAGTTCTATTATCTAAGTCACAGTCTATGTTAGGACATCATCCTTCACTTATTAATGCAGAAAATTAAAATGAGCTCATGCAATACGCTGAGAAAATAGAGGTATCTATAGAGGTACAGACTGTTGATGAAGTTAATGAGCAGAAGTGAGACGAGGTATAGATAAAGGGCTAAAAAAGGAATGAGTTAAACATCTGCCTTATACGTTTATACACCTCATTGACAGTCCTCACAGATGTTTACTTCCCTTTGCACATAAACACATTAAATCCACATACAATTACAACTGTGGCTGAACCATGCACAGCGCAAGGTTGACAATCTGAATCCCCGGACAAGCCAGTAAAAACTGGGAGGGCAAAGGTCAACAATCTGAATAATTACCAATAAAGAAATGAACTGTAACAGAACAGGGCATCTGACCAAGTGAACTGCAGACTTTTATGTTCTTGATCATCGTGTCTCATCATTTCAAATAGCTAAAATGTTTCAAACATTTCACTCAGTCAATACAAATTAGGAGCTAATATTGTGGTAAATGCACACCCACAAAAGAGCCAATAATGAAAGAAAATGACGTGCTGTAACCCACATGTGGTAGAGATCGCTGGGGATGCAGCCGCTCTTCATACATTCTTATGTTGAGCTCACAACTGCTCTTTCACACAATAATGTTCTGGAAAACATGAGCCTCAGGTAGTTTCTCTTTGGCCATGAGAGACAGGAAGGTTATATACTCCCTCTGATTGCTTTCAGTGCAGATGAGGACGCTGACCATCCTGCTTGAAAGCTGAGTGTCACCTCTGCAGCTCTGCACAGAATGCGGATTGAATCTCTGTGAAGACATTTATATATATTCCAAGGTTTTTGTGCTTTAATAATACAAAGAAAATATAACACAAATACAGATATAGTGCTGTTACAATGTGTTTTTAGTTTAAAAACTTTTACCATCACCCTTTATTTGACTTTGCCATCAGCAAGGAAACACACACTTTTTACCGTGACATGTCAATTAAAACAAACAGTTCTTACACTAAATGCTTCACAGAGCCAAAAACCAGGATTGTGATTAGGCTGTAGAGAGAGCAATGGGACACTTGAATCATAACAAAGCCCAACTGAGCAACAACTGAGACAACAAAAGGCATACAAATCTAAGCAAAACTGCCTTGAGGTTGCTTGGAATTCCACCAGACAGCATTGTGCAGCAATGTGCAATACACTGTGCAATCCTGAATATTTGTGTAAGATTAAAAAAGCAGAGGCTGTCTGGCACTAATTCTAACCACATCAGACTCCAATCTCCATTTTTGAATGTCACAAAGCCTTAGATTCATGCTTCTTAGATACCTTTACTCCTCACAGGGTCGCTGACCTTGTCCACCCACATAACTCCCGGGCTGAGCAGAAACACCACCTTAATCCTGAGAAAACAAATGGAAGAAAACTCACTGTCTGATCAATTCTATATTGCATGCAGACACAAATGTGAGACAGCAGCAGTAGAGTGAATACAGATTTTTTTGTTTTGGGCATTCTCGCTCTCTTGAGTCTTCCTCTTTGCCATCACGGTTGCAATCTGCATGTCAGAGCTCATAAGCTTCTACTCTCCACCTCACATCCCACACAGCTGCAGGAAACACAAACTCATTCATAATTGTATAATTTCCCTCGTAAGGGAGGGTTTGAGTGCAGAGCTACAGCGGAAACAGACAGAACAGTTTATTGTGCAGAGGATCTGTCCTGTACTTTGTCATCAGGTCATGACATCTTCCGATTTATATTGTGTATGATACAGCAACCACACTCATTCCCATTTGTAAAGCAGCAACAACTTAAAAATACAATTATTTCGATAAATCGGCTTTTTCAAGCAAACATTGTTCACATTCGCTGCTTCCAGCTTCCCACAATATGAAGATTATATAGCATATTTAAGTTTTGGACAGTAAATGGAACAACACAAGCAAAAAGAGTATTAAACATTTTAAAAGATCAAATTAAATACCTGAATTAAGTAAGTAAATAGTCATCAAACAGTTTTGTATTGCGTTCTTAGTCACAGCCGTAACCATTTTACAAGTTCTACCAGGGCCACAGTTTTCTGAGTCCACAAACTGCACAATGTTCAGTTTATACATTATTTTTACACGCAGCTCCAGCCATGAACTTTATGAATGCCCATGGCTAGAACCTTTGTTGTGAGTCTAAATGTATTAAAGTAGATGGTTTGCTCAGGTAATTGCATGATTGTTGTTTTTGTCCTTTCATTTCATGTTTTCTTCAAGCCACACAGACCTTGTGGCTTTTTTGGCTCTGCCAGCTCATCT